ACGTTCGTTGATATAGCGTTTGTTTTAGCGCGATTGTTGAAAATAAGTGTATCGTAAAGTTGTATTCGGAAAGAATAAACCAGTTTTATTAAGTAAAGACTTGTGTCGTTAAAGTTTCGTTGGAACGAAGTTACGGAAAGTTAATTAACAAACGGAGACGTAACAGTACAATATAATTTTATAGTAGGTATAATGAAACGAAAGTGAAATTCTGCAGCTTACTAATAGTAAAACATTACAACAAAATAAACTCAGAATGAGACAAGATTTATATCAGAAGATTTCATTAAAACATGTAGTTTTGGTGATTTATGACAGTAAAGGCAAAAATTGATAAACTCGTAATAAAAACTAACAAAGAAGTACATCTTCAACTAAACGTTGTTTTAATTCAAAATGCCAATTTCAACATATCACGTGCTTACGCTGTTGCCAGTGTTGGTGCCGTAAAATGCTGCAGTAGGCCTACCTTTAAAGTTCTGTTAACGTTAATATCAATAACAATTTCAAAAAAATGCTTATTATTACAAAATCGACCTTCTAATTTATTTTGCCCTCAGACCTTGCTCTTGAAGCAAAGAGATCTGTTTGAGTCTAAAGCCTCATGAAACGTTTTGGCAGGAAAAAATAGTTGACACATTCTAAGTAGGCTTTAAAATATTAAAATGGCACTAGTAATAAATGTTAAAAAAAACCGAAACAGTGGTAATGTTGAAAAAGAAGGATGAGATGTATTTGTTTTAACTGATAGCTATCTTCACCAGAAGCACTACGTTCTATTACTAGCATTGTTATTAATACTAACGAAAAGCAGAGGGAAAGAGGTAACTGCCAAACTGACTGATAATGTTATAATTTAGGTTACAAGATGTTTTAGGAACCAAAAAATCCCGTCCCTCAAATCGCGAAAAAAGAAAAATACTTAATTTTCAAATAAGTAACAAAGACAATTTAACTACTTAATAGGAACATCACATCTAAGAAAAAAACAACTTTATGGTATGTGGACAATCTTTCGCGACTTTTCCGTTTCTGTACTATACAAAAGTACTCTTCTTATATATTACCCCATTCTGATCCATAAGTTACAGTATCTGTCTACGTTATCAACAAATCTACTTACTAATAATAGTTCGAACTTAAAAGTTGAAATGGATCAGTGTAGATAAAAACAGTTGATGTTCATCATACTTGACACCATATTCAAATTTGATAAAATCACTTTGCAAATTTGGAATGATCAATAGTGATACTCTACTCAAGTTAAGAACTTATATTAAGAGAGGCTTCAATATTACTACTATAATAACTATTCCTTTTGATTGTATTGTAAAGTAAAATGAAATTAAGGCTTATTTATTAAGTCTATTGATATTGCAGTTATTAATATACTCTTAGTGTTAGGATGTGGCATTCTGACGATTTCCTTCATGAAACATATTATCCCTGAATAATATTAATAACAATTAATAATGAATTATGGCTGTTCCAAAAAAAAACGTTAGCATTATTAGTATTACTATTACTCTATAGTGTTAGATATATAAACCGGATTATCGTAACATTATTTTAATTGTGTATGCTTTCACCTTGTAATTAATAGAAAATTATAATACATTTGTTGATATATTTATATTACTTACAATCACTTACCCTAAACTTTTCTTTGTGCTTTCCAGAGTCCATTCTTACTGCCTTTTCAAACACAATAATCTCATAACTCCTTGTTCAGTTGTTATTCCATGGGCCTCTTCTCGTCAACTTACCTTTGTCTAAGTAAGAATGGTTCATGATTACGCATTTTTAGGGGAAAATGTATAAATTGCATGAATCTTATATTTAAAAAAAGAAATAAATAAATGTACTTCGATACTTAAAAGCAACTTGTTTGAAATATATCATAAAAAATCAAATAATAACTTCATCCATAAAGTATAATAGACATGAGATCAGGTATGATTTTGTTGTAAAATAAATTCAACTAAAGACGAAATATGTTCTACACTAGGGTAACTATTAAACAATTAAACCTTGCTGTAAGCACTACTTGGCTTAAATACAATACCATAAATATTGTCAATAAGTACATATATATACTGTATATTATGCTACCTATTACAATTTCAAATGGTCTGAAAAAGAGCAAACTGATCAATTTAAATTTAGTAGTTAAATTGTACTTTGTACAGTTAAGTAAAAGCCGATATATAGTCAGTTTATGATCTTTACCAACAAGATTGATACATACAGTTTTCTTTTATACAATTATGTTTTAATATACAAGCAACAATACAATTTACAGTAACAATTATTACAAACAATGATTTATAAACAAAAGTTTCACAAACTT